TGCTGAGTCACTTAGCCAAACCTCTAGACTCCCCAAGTTGACACAGTGTATCAACCATAGCACCTCCCTCCCCCTCTGCCTGGATCTGGAGGATCTTTGCCTCCATTACACTCTCTCTTGACCCCTTTATCCTTGAAGCTTTCAAGTCTATGTTCACACAGACTTTGTTCTGTGACATTACCGAGTCCTGATCTTTGACCCACTCTTTTTCCTTTCTCTTCTGTCCCTGAACTGATCAGGGCTCCTTGCAGCACCAGCACGTCCTGTTGGCTTTCATACCTGTCCTCTCCTTGTCCCCTCCGCTTTGACTCAGCTGTGATGACCGTGGCAGGCACACGCTGGTTCATTCCCATATACCCAGGGCAGTCACTAAAACTTGCTGGGACTTACTTACCCTTCATTATCTTCTTTAGTCCTCAGTTCCACTTCTCAGTCATTGTCTCTTCACTGTTAGAGCATGATGTCATCTCTGTCTAAGAAGAGTGAGACCGTGAGGCTGAGTCAGCCTGCTCCTGACCCCTGCCCTGCCCCTGCAAATCCACACTCATAGGTGATTGTGCTCTTGCAGTTCCAGGCTCTTCTCCTCTGCTGTTGTTCTTCACTTCATCTCACACCCCGTTTTTTCTCCTTGAGATACTTGCTATGTCATGGACCACAGCTGGTTCTGGCCCTGGTCAACCACTAATCTAATTTCTGTCTTTGCGGATTTGCCTGTTGCAGATACTTAAGATAAATGTAGCCATAAGTTATGTGATGTCTGTGTCTGACTTCTTGCGTGGAGCATGTTTTTGAGGTTCACCATTCTATAGCACATATCAGCCCTTTGTTTCCTTTTGTTGCAGATTAGTATTCCACTGTGTGGATGTACTGCATTTTGTCTCTCCATTCACCAGTTGATGAGTTTGTAAAAATTTTTTTTGGAGTATTGGGGATTGAACCCAGGGTCTTCTCACTGGCTACATTCCCAGCCTTTTTTAATTTTAATTTTTTTATTTTGAGACAGGGCCTTGCTAAGTTGTCACTTTTTTGTTTTAAATCTTGATTTCTGTGATCATCTGCACGCTGATTCTCACCAGAATAGTAGGCATAGCCATCCAGCAGCCTCCTCAGCATCCCTACTTTTTGTTTTCTTTTATCTGAGCCTCAGCATGTCCACGATGAACTCATTCTTTCCTTCTGAACTTACATCTACCTTTTCTCTCTCCCACCTTCTTTGTCACCTAAACCAAGGGTGATTCTCGCTCCCCTTCCCCATAGCTATTTCCCTCTGTCTAGCACAGGCCCTCATCAGCTCCTGCCTGCACGCAGCAAACCTTTCTCTCGGACCTCTCTTGTTTTCCTTTTGAAACCCATCTGCCTCCTCCCTGGATTATCTGTTGAACAGACTTTTAAATCTTAAATCCTACTAAATAAAGCCTGAGCTCCTTAATGTTGGATGGAAGGCCCCCTGTGAGCTTGTTCCCAGTGCGTAATTAATCTTGTGTCTCACACATTTGCTTGACTGTGGAACTGCAGGTTTTACACACAATGTCCCTTCTGCTTGGGTTCTGCCCCCAGCTCACCTGCTTCAGTCCACTCCCACATGAGCCTTTCTCCTTGTTAGTTCAGCCACCTGTTACGTCTCCCTGGAACTAGAGCACGTCACTAAGCTCGGCTGTGTGCCTTCAGATTTGCTTTTATGCAAGCCCATTCAGAACACTTGCACCAAAGTGGCTCCCAGAAATACTGATCCAGTCTTGTCGCCCTCCTTGTTAAAATTCTTTACTGGCTTCTCAAAGGCTCAGTGATTTGGAACAACCCACCTTGGCTTTCCTCTCCTTTTTCATCTCTCCATAAATACTTAAATGCTGCTTATTAACTGACCTTCTGTCCTCATCATCCGTCTCATGGGTGTGGGTCAGATACTTCATCCGTGTGAAATGGCTTATAATTTCTTGACTTTGTCCTGCTTTTTCTAAAACTCTGTGCCATTGAGCAGGCTCTATCTGCTCTGTCCGAAATGGCCTTTACCAGCAGGCTGCTCCATGGCTTCCGTTTGCTAATTTCTCTTTACCTTTCAATACTGATGACACTGCGCATGTTCCATGTTCCAGGGTCTTAGTGGTACTTCCATTTTAAGCCTACTCTTTACATGTAATTTTAATGTTCCATAGGGTCTTAGAGGTACTTCCATTTTAAGCCTCCTCTTACATTTAATTTAAACTCTTTACATTTACATTTTAACTCTTACATTTAATTTTAAGCCTAGTCTTTACATTTAATCAATTTTTTAAACCAGTCTCCCTCACTGTGCCATAGCCTTTAAGTCACTTTAATGTCTAAGACTCATTTTGTACGCACATTATAGTTACATTTTGTGTGTTTATTGAATGAACAGTTGAAAGAATGAAGGGTAGAACAAAGTTTGGCACTGTATTAAACACCATCCTTAGCTTGGCCAGAGTGCCTGATGTGATGGTTGTTAACAGGAGCCAGTGCTGGCTTTGAGGTGCTTTTAATCTGAAGTCCGCACTTCTGTTAAGTTGCTTCTGATTCAGTTAAGAATATCTCAGTTTTTATTTTTATTTTGTTTTTTTGTGGTACTGGGGGCCAAACCCACAGCCTTGCACCTGCTAGGCAAGTGCTGTATTACTGGCAACACCCTACCCCTGTATTTCAGTTTTTAATTCTGGCCTTAACTTTGCCGCTCATTGGCTGTTTCCAGGAAACAGACAGTTCACCTGTTTCAAGAGCCTTTCTCTAAGTTTAATTGGAGGCCTTCTCAGTTTTGGCATTTTGAATACCACAAGCCACTCAGAGAAAGGTAGATGGACTTAGGAGCTGACTGCATTCCCGGTCCCTAAGATGGTCTCGTTTCCCCGGTGATGCCCACAGGATGTCACTACTGCTCCTTCTCCTCACCCACATAGGTCTAGGTGTGCAAAGAGAAAACCATTTGCTTGGTGAATTTAGCAGGACAGGGGCCCCAGTATGTACAGTGATACCTCGGTTCTTGAACTCAATTCATTCCAACTTCGTGTTTGAACACTGAAAAGTTGAAGAACTGAGCATATTTTTTACATAAGAAATAAGTAATAGAAAACCAAAGAATTGGTTCTGAGGCCCTGAAATTATACTTATAAATTCATTTTTACCAGGATGTTAATAAATTTCATAATGATTTCTTTCTTTAACCCCATCGTGGTTCTCAGTTTTCCTCTTAGCGTTATTGCTGGGACCACTAACTTTTTTTGGAGCCATGCTTATGATATTTTATGCAAGTAAAGTGCAAAAAAAGTACAATGACATATGTTGGAATGCACTAACCTAAGCCCTGTATGTTGTCTGGGTGAGGATGACACTTAGACTGAAGTATCACCCTGTTATGTCTGCATTGAGACTGATGCATGACTCACTTTCGGCCTGTGCAGGTTTTTTCAGATTGGATTTTCAGTTTGACTATCAGGCAAAGTTCTGTACACCAAGCAGATTTTTTTCGAACTTCGCTGCTCAGGTAGTGAAAAGCTCAAGCTTGGAGCCGTTCAGCAACTGAGGTATCACTGTAGTTCGTAAAGTGAGGCATTTCCATAATTTAGCATGGGGAGAGCTAAGGAAATTATATTTATTCTTTGCTCAGTCTATGTTTCAAGTGCATTCAGATTAAAAGAAAAGATCCAAAGCTCAATAGATATAAAAGCTCACTGCATTTACTGGTTAGAAGGAAAGTAAAATTTGAAGGATTTATTTAGGTTGTGTCACATGTCTGGTCAATTTGCCCTTTTCAGTTTTTTGTTTTGTTTTGTTTTGTTTAAGCAGAAACATTAGCAAATGAATATATAATTCATTCATGATTTTAGTACTTAAGTAAATCCAATTGATTTATTAAGCTTTTATTTTGGAGAATACATAGTTCTTTATTTCTAAAAGGGAATAGCAATAATTTACCTCATTCAGATGCTTAAATATTTCTAAACAAATGGTAGCTTGTCATAAAAATCACTGAATTTTGTTTTTCCAAAAATGTTCTAAAGTAATTGGTACCTCTAGGTTGGAACTGTAAAATCAAACTAATTATTTTATTTTCTATCTTAAATATTAAATAAATGAAACTCATAATTTTGGACCAAAAAGAGAAGGAATTAATATCAAAGTAAAATACCGTGCACAGAAATTCCAAAGTTTTATAAACTAAAATGTGATTAGAAGTTCAAAAATGGCCTTTATAGCGGTGTCAGAGAATGACACAGTATTAAAGCATTTTAAGGATCCAAGCTCCCTTAGCTTCCTAACAAAGTAGATACAGTATTTATGAGGTGAATCAATACTGTAAAACACTTGGGGTGCAGTGAGCTTTTAAGACCTGTTCTTTTACCACAGAGAGCCTCTGAATGGGGTATGGTTTGTTTTTCATGTTTTATGTGTTGGTTTTCTATTCAAATATTGTCAGTGTCACTGTAAAGGTGAAACTGTGACCATTTGGGTCCTCTGTTTGTGATTAGAATGTCCTTTTGCTTTGGAGAAAACATTCCTCTTGCTTTAAATATTCAGACTAATTTTCCCCCAGAATTTCGGTGTCCCCTTCCCCTCCCAGTACCCAGCACCCTGTATTCACCAGGCTGGCGTCTGCCCTGGATGACTAATCGTCATGGCACCTGGTGCGCTCAGGCAGGCCTGCGCGGCGGCATCGTCGTACCTAGTTATGTCTGCACACCTGATGTTTTATTAACCAGTATTGATTTTTTTACCCGGGGGACTTTTTTCCTCCTGAAAAAAGGCAACCTTGCAGGAGTGAAAGGCATTGCAGGGATGCATTTCTAATGAACCCCTTCTTTCCCTCTTTGAGACTCCTCTTTAATGTAGCTTCATGTTTTAAGTGCCCGGACTGAAATTTCATTTTGAGCAATTCCATTTTGATAAATCCTTTTAAATCTTGCCTTTCTGTAAGGTTATTTTTTAAAGATTGTGCTGCTTGACTGAAACGCTTAGTAGTGCCTGTAAATTTGGGCATTTCATTATAGCTTGCAATGAAGCATGGTCGCATGCAGTGAAATATGGAGAATTTTGGACTGTTTGAGTAATGCTTAGAGAAATAAAAAGGCAGAAAAAAAAATCTCATATTTTAGGTAGTTCTCTAGTTTCCCCTGGTTTGTTTAGGGTCAGTTCAGAGAAGTAAAGAAACAGTGGGAGTTATGAACTAGTCTTATATCATAAAATGAATATGTAGCTCAACAGTTATGTAGTGACAGAAAAGGATTTTGTTGCATTAGAATATAAACATTTATACTCAGTATATGGGAATGTTTATAGAAGCATCCTAAAACTAACTGCTAGTGTAAGGACACCAGAGGTTTTTCATCTCTCAATATGGCATGGATTTTCCATTCAAAAAATAATACCTTGTTTGTGTGTATTTTTGCATTGCACTTAAATGATAGCAGATTTATACATTTGCCATAAATTAGGGGGAGTTTCTTAATCATTCCCTTCTGACTTTGGTTCAACTGTGGGCTGTTTGTGCTTTCACGCCTGCATTTTTAATTTACTGCCTCAGTCCATCAGGCATTGTGTACAGACTGCGTGCACACCATTAGTTGTCAGGAGATGAGGGCCTCATGAGTCATTCTGACAGCTAGCTTGCACTACCACGATAAAATAGGCCCTCTTCTGTCATTTCCCTGAAGCTGGAAACAAGCCTTCTCCAAGGAATGCATATCTTCCAAGATACTTATTTATGCATTGAACATCTTGACTTTGAAAACGGTTCTTTTGGTAATTGTGTATTAATAGTACATTAATTAACTGACCCCTCTGTTCTTCTTACAGTTTTTGGCACTGGGCACACATTACGGCAAGGTTTATTTACTTGATGTCCAGGGAAACATTACTCAGAAGTTTGATGTAGTAAGTATATGATATAAAATAATGTATGTATTAAACTTCATGCTAAAAATTTGTACTTCCGAATACTAGTTTTAGCAATTGCTCTTAGTAGCGTAAAGGGGAGAATGCTCAGTATCACTCTGAATTTTATTGCAAATGCTAAGATTTTTAAAGGTGAACTTATAGAGGGAGTTCTCTATATATTTCTGTATATATGAGTAGCTATGTAAACATACACAGTTTGAGTGTAATCTGTTATATATGTTTTGGCTGAGTATCAAAACTCTGTGTTAAAAATCTGTTTGTACAATTCTGTTCAATTACAGTTCTTTAATTAATTATAATCATCGATTTGACTTTAAATGGAGCAATTAGAACAATCCTGTGTGTATTCTTTTTGAATTGTAACAGTGTAGCATGTCCAAGTGAACTGTTATTACAAGAATAAATGCTGCTTTTCTTAGTGAATGATGGTGCTAATTTACATACTCTGGGAGTTTGTGGAACCCTTGGAGGATGAAGCCTCTCATTTGGTGGCTAATGGCAATTGTAAGTAGGTGCCTCGTCATCCTGTTGAGATGCCACATGTAATTGAAAATTGATTGATCACCTTTCTGGATCAGTTTATCTCTCCTAAATATATAAAGCTAAAATATTGTATGTGAAGGCTTTGATGGTTTGAATTTTAGAGGATTATGTTGATCAAAAGCAAAGAACCAGATGTTTACATTTTTTTAGTTGGGATTTGGAATCAATGATGGAGGACATGTTGAATTTAAAGCTTGATTTTGGTGTTTAAGGTATATCTTAAAAGTATGAGGAATTTCTATTTTTGTGTGAATGGAACTAGGTAAAAAAGGTGATGAGTTTGGTGGCTAGATACTACTTTTTTAAAGAAAACATAAGCACTTGTTGAAAAATACATCATGAGGTACTAAGTAGTTTATAAAGGAGGCTACAGTTCTAAAGCTGGCACATTGTGTGACAGAGAAAAGGCTCCCTTGTTTTGCTTGAAAGGAACAGAATCACAGACAGAATCCTTGGGATGGCCTAGGAAGGGAAGTTTGTGCTTGTGGTGATACATCAGGAAAATTGTGGGTTCTTATTTCACCTTAGCAGCCCTTTCAGGCAAGAGGAATCTGCTATTGGCCTCCCGCATGCACCTTCTGGACACTGGGCACATGTCTTGATGACCTAAACAGTAGGTCATTAACTGGTGCTGGGCCAGCGCTATTTTTATGGCATTTTGCAGCCTCCTCACAGTTGAAAAAGTTTGAGTGTATGGGCACTTACACTTCCTGCTCCAGTTTAATCATTCTCTGACTCTGCTTCTAAGTCAGTCTTTTTGATATGTATTGTATAAAAGTTGCAGCGAGTAGTTGAAGCATATATTGTTGGTTCCATTGTTGAAAAACAGCCCTGTGCCTACTCAGTCTCAGTGCTTCAGTTATATCTTCTCTGATGCCAGTTTCATGTCAGGTGTGCCCTTCATCCATCTTCTACAGCTAATTTATGATATCCATTAATTTGCTCAAACCTTTATTCAGCTTTTTTTTTTCCAAGTCCTGTATATGTGACTGAAAATTAAACTCTCTCTAACTTGGCATCTCTTTTGGGCATGGATGGAGATTGTTTGGTGCTATTTTTATTTATTTGTTTGAAAAGCTTTTCATAAGGCCTTGACTTTTTCATGGTCATTATCATTTTAGGTAAGTGACAAATTTGAGATTGTCATTGTCTTTTGAAATAAGTCATAATCTCAGCTTTCCATTTATGATGAGATTTTTTTTTTTTTTTCCTCTTTCTGTTTCTGATGATGAGGTTGCTTTGTAGGGCTTTTATTATTCCTGTTAAAGAGGGATTCTTTTAATTCTGAAAACATGGTTAGGAGTTGAATTCAGTAATGTCTTTGGATGTAATGGTTGCCATATTTAATGAACAACTTTTCATTAGAAGCCCAGTGAGAGAAGAAAGAAGGATTTAAAAAATGAATAAACATCCTTGACTTTTAATTTTTACTTCTAAGTGATAGTAATTTAAAAAGGTGATATAAAATAATACCTTACTTGCATAATTTTTTTATTTTCCTAATAAATACCCTTTGAATTCGTCCATTGCATTTATAGTTTTGATTCCAGTAATAAAATTATGAAGCAGTGGTCTCTAACCCTTATTGATCCATTGGGTTTTGTTTGGCAGAGGTTAGGAGCATCTAGGGATCAACTGTTTAAAAAGGTTTCCTGGATGGTACAGCATATGTTAATTAAAATGCTATCACCATTTTTTTTTTAGGTTATGTCTAGATATAGCCAACTCAGACTTACTTGATAAAGTTTCATTTTACTTAATATTTAGGGTAAAATTAAAATCAGCTTAGTTTGTCATATACAGTGGCTTAAATTGCTGAAAAGTAATCTATATGAATATAGACCAAGCTATATTCTTCTGAACAGTGGTTATCACTTGCATACAGTTTGTAACATATTACTTCAAAATCCTCAGAGAACCTCAGATTCCTTTTAAATTCCCTCATGATATTTATGCTCATATAATGTCATTAATAATAGTAGTTACTTTCTCTTTAATAGTCTTCATTTTCTGTAAGATTGTTGATTTAAAACTTCCTAATAAAGAGGATTTTGAAGGAATGGTCACATTACAGTGCCATCTCTGTGTTTAATGTCTTGGAGCATTATGGCACATGGTTTAAATATTTATTCCTTTAAATATGCTAGTGGAAGATCAAGGATTCCACAGATCCAAATTTCTGCTGTTTTCTATATGTGTTTTCCTTTCATTCCTAGAAATAGAAAATGAGGAGATTTTGTTCTATGAGGTGCTATGGCAGGAGGCATTAGGTGCAACTTTTTTTTTTTGGTCTTTTTGAGACACGGTTTCACTATGCTGTTCAGGCTGGCCTTGAACTCACTTTGTAGCTCAGGCTGGCCTCAAACTCACAGGGATCCTCCTGCCTCAGCCTCTCAAGTGCTAGGATTACAGGTGTGTGCCACCACACCAGGCCTTAGATACATACTTATAAAATGGATGATCACAATCAGGCATGATATTATGTGTCTGTTAATTCGGCCACACTGGGAGACTGAGGCAGGAGGATCACAATTTCAAGCCCAGTCTGAGGGAGGTAGCTCAGTGCCGAGGCCCTGGGTTCAATCCCTAGTACTGCAAAAACAAACAAAGAAGGTCGCAAAAGGAAAGAAATAAAAAAAGCAAAACAACAAACAAAACCAAAATGAAGTCTTATTGGACATTTTAAGATAAAGATCAAATTTTTGAAATTAATCTCTTGAGGAAGAGCTGAGGTGAAGATTCCCCCAGAACTCAAGATTGCAGTCTCTTGGTATTTCTGTTGTTGGATTTTATCTGAGATTAAACTGATGTACGCTACTGTTTAGTTGCTGACCTTTGGTCACCCTCTTGTTCTTATGGACCAGAATCTCTACCATAACTGAACTAGCTTACACAGGTCCAGATTTTAACGCAGTCCAAATGGGCCCCATGGTTCCTGGTCATTCTGCCTGCCCTTCAGTCTAATGCTTGTGTCCATGGTTCCTTCCTAGAGGAAGTCCCCAGCAGCCAAGCCTCCCACACTGTGGTCATGGCCGGGGGGGATTCACCTTTCCGATCTTAGTTTCTTTCTTCCCTCTTTAAGTTTCATGTGAGATTTCAGGTCTTGGGCCTTCCTCTCTTCTTCCCTCTCTTTATCTGGTGCTGTTTGATACTTAGTCAGCAGAAATTGATCGTGACACTTTGAAACTTTGCCATGAAGGTTTTTTTTGTTTATTTTGATTTTGTAAATTTTTTTTTTGGTCATTGCTTAATCTTTTAGGAGGACTTCTGGGAGAGTCAGATCTCTGCTCTTTGATGTATTGGTCATTCCTCATTTCCTTTCTTTCATCTCTTTCTTTTGTTTTCTTTTTGTGGTACTCTGTATTGAACTCGGGCCCTTTCAACTGAACTACATCCAAGCCCTGTTTTGCTTTTTATTTTGAGACAGAATCTCACTAACTCACTAAGTTGCCTAGGGTGGACTTGAAGCTGCAGTCCTCCTGTCTCAGCCTCCCAGAGTATGTGCAGCACCACTCCAGGGCTCCTCATTGTCTTTATAATTAGAAATTTTTACATTGTAATCTACTAAAGACTGAATTTTGTCCCCCACTCCAGATTCATCTGGTGAAGCCCTAACCCTCAGTGTGATGGCGTTTGGAGTTGGGGCCTGTGGGAAATAACTAGGTTTACATGAGGCCCTGCGGGAAGGGTTCCCATGATGGGGTTAGTGCTTTTATAGGAAGAGGCGGCAGAGAGCTCCCTAGAAGGCTGCAGTCTGTGAGCCAGGGTGAGGGCCCTCCTAGAACCTCACCATGCCAGTGCCCTGCTGTGGGGCTTCAGCCTCCAGAAGAGGGAGAAAATATGGCTCTGTTGTTTAAGCCACCCGGTCTATGGTGCTTCATTACAGCAGCTCAGGCAAATAATTTTGTGACTAGTTCCATGTCTGCGAATGGTTGTGCTTTTATTTCTGTTGTTGGGCTTCTGGATTCAGCCTTTGTTCAGCTGCACCACTGACGTTTTGTTGTTTTCTCTGGCATATTAGAATTTATCTCTAATAAAAATGAGCTGCTCTTTCCTTTGTATTGATGTATAAGTATTGTTTGGAGGGTCACCCATCTTTCTTTTCATGGTTCACCAAAGGAAATACTTCTGTCTTCTGTTTCTGCCAATATAATCCTAAAAATTTAAAGTTCCTTTGAGCTTCTTAAATTGTGTTTTAATATTCATACACGTCTCTTTTTATCCCTTATATGGCTTAATCGTCTCTGTGTTATGTCCTCTTAATCATATAGTACATTTGTTGACATTTTTGGCCTATTTTTCATTTTCCCCATAGAATTCCTCTTGAGTGAAGTTTCTTTGTATAATTTATCCATATGTCCTTAGCTCTAAAAGCTTGTAGAACTGATAAAAGTGAGAAATGGATAAAAATTTATTACACTTTCTCATCAGTG